AATTAGAAATGGATGTATTATTAATTGGAACTGGTAACATAAAGGTTGTATGGGACGTTTGTCCATTGTGTAGTAGTGTGCTTGCAATGCTTGTCCATGCCATAAAAACCACTTTTTTTATTGTAAAACTCAAAATATTTTACCATTGTATTTAATAAATATATTTTACTAGTACCGCCAGGGCTATCAATAAAAATAAAATGGTTGGTATAGGTTGGGCACTTGATAATGTTAATAATTTCATTGAATATAATTAATTGTTCAGCATTCCAGTTTCTAATATGATGGTAAATTTTGGTACATGAATGGTTGCAATTTGGTATTGATTGAATAGAGATATTTCGGATTGGGATAGGTAAGTTGTATAATTGGTTTGTTTTACCATGTATTTTCATTCTTGAGTTAATGTCTATTAAAGCAAGTTTATATTGGCATACAATATTTGTTCTACCAAAATCTTCAGAGAGCTAACCCTTAAAAACATCCCAAAGATATGATGGGTCTTGTGGATTGTAAAAAATATATATGAAAGTAAAGAGTTGACACAATTGTGTAAGCATTTGAAAATTGTATGCTTTTTGTAAACAGTTATACCACTTGTTATCATCATCAAGAAGACCCATAGCAATAGCAAATTGTTAAAAGTTTTGATAAGTTACATTATTAACTATTTTAATATTGTCGAAGGATGTCACACCTCTTTTATGAAGAAGAATAATACGTAAGTGGTACAACTCAGTATTTAGAGGAGATATTGAGTATAGTCGAGGAATAACCTTTTTCTTTTTTCGACATTGCCATACATTAGTAGATTTATTGAAAACATAATGTAAAGATATTTCAATGTAGGTATATTGTCTTGCATTTAGATCATGAATATTGAGTTTAAACTATTTTGTTAGCATTGTTCCATTACGTGCTGCTCTTTGCAAGGCATTGTGCTCCAAGCCTTCTGTAAAATACACATTTTGGAAGTCAGGAAGATGTACGGGTAAACATATTATAGGGTGTGAGCGTCCATGCATTTTAAATTTAAATATCCTCCAAATAGCTTCTAGTACTGAAATGTATCGGGTATTTATAAAATTCGTGATTTCATCCCAATTTAATACGTTTTCAGACTGAGTAGCTGTTTGGATTTCAATGGTTGCACAATCATATCCTTTATAAACATATTGAAAAAGATACTTAATACTTTTAATTGATGCACATATTTCTACATTTATATGGGCTTTGTATTTTTTACATAACTATTTATTATATGGGACAATCCATCTATTATCAATTGGAACATCATTTTTAAGAAAGGTGTGGCTTGTTTAGCCTAAAATATTCTGGGTACCCATGCACACAATATATAGTCCTGTCATTGAAGTTTTTGGGATAGTTTTTGGAGCATTTTTTGTTTTCCATACATAGACTTTGAGGATTTAGTAATCCATATGGACCATGTATCATATGTGATGTGATTATTTCAAATAGTTTATTCTCTGATAAAGGGTCAGATAATTGAGCAGATACATATTGGTTAATAGTGACAAGGTCTTTAATTTTACTTTCATTGTCTAATATACTTAGGAAATGACAATGTGGCAAACCTCTTTTTTGGAATTCAATGACATATATAAATGCAATACATCTTCCAAAGATATTATTTTGTGTAATATCATGAAGAAAATATTTTAACTTCATGTTAAAAACCCTAGCAGGTCCTTCGGGTGCAGATTCTGTAATATCTCAGGCCATTTAGGGTTGCAAGTGAAAGTTATGAAAATATCAGGTTTTGCATATTTTGTTACAATTGCCATAGCATCTTGGTAATTTTGTTGCATAACTCTTGGGCTTCCTGTAAAAGTAGAAGGTAAAATATTTTTCCTGGTCGAGCATTTGCATCAGCAGCTTTGCCAGCAACATAATCCATCAAATCTATATAAAAATCAACTCTCATACTTTTTTGATTAGATCTATAGTATTGTAAATTGTTGCTTTCACTTTTAACATAGGCATCCACAATATATTGTTGAGTGAGTTTTCCAGCATGTAAAATTTGGTCATATGTAACTGTAGAGGTTGATAATGTTGAATATCTTTTGGACAAACGATAGGCATAATATTGAAGGAGTGTTACATGCTTGTTAGAAGAAAGCTTGTCATGCCAGGCTCTATCTCCATATGGAAAAAGCAATGGATAAACCATAGGATCACAATTAACACTTAAAATAAATATATGTTGTGGTTCTGAAGATTTTGGATGAATGCATATTTCACGGTCAAAAGGTGGCACACCATCTTCATTTTGGAAAACTATTGCAACATCATTAGTTTGTGGAGTATTATATCAACGATGGTCTGTGCCTTCATTTTTAATGAGCATATATACTCCACGTAAATTGCTACCAGAAGTAATAGTTCTTGAAATATTTTCTCGTTCCAATTCATACATCATTCTAAAAGCTTGTGCATATGGATTAATATGTTGGAGTATCTTATCTAGTTGAAGCAGTAAATTATAATCACAGTTAATGTTAAAAGGGTTTTGTTTTCTGATATCAGTAGCCTCATTGGAGTCTAGCATGTACAATTGACTGTAACTTGGATTTTGATGTATTGAAGGATGTTGTGGCATAATTTTATGATAGATTTGTCCATAAATTCTATAGCAGTATGGACCATGACCTGTAAAAGTATCAATACTAGCTCCCATAGACGCGAAAGCAAGTGCACTATTATATTGTCTTATATTACTCTTGAAATTAAAGTGTTTGTGTGAGTTATATACAAAATACAGAAAAGGTGGTAATGGAAGTATTGGAGGCAGGTAGACCTGTCCACTCTGGCAACAAATAGACTTGTTCTCATCGGCAAAGTGTGAGGCATGACAATATTTACAAATATATGATAAAGGACCTATATTCATTGTCAAAACAGATGTATCATTATATAGGTAATTGCTAGCAAGTGTGCTGCAAATCTGAGGTGAAGGGGGCAAATAGGAATTGGAAATTGACTGCTGTTCAGTTTGATTATTAAGATTTGTTTGATGTCAATACTGTGTAGCCTCTTGAATATTACTGTTGTAAAAGTTATATGTCTGCTGGTGCTGGTTAGTGTTTTCAACGTTATTATTGTATGTGGAATGTGTATGTTTGTGTCGAATAGCATTCAGTACATGTCGAAGGTGCGACATTGTTTTCAACAGCTTCTTTTGGAAATGGAGATCAATTATTAGGGCAGATAGAAAGCAAAAGATATTTACTGAGGGGTATGGACAGACATAAAAACTAACCTTTTCGATGCATGCCAAAAAGGAGCAGATTGATGTGTGTTACCTGATACAGTGTCTTCTCGCAAGACTTACATTTTTGCTACCTCACTGCGAGTGCCATGTTTCCTCCACCAAATTGGGATCTGCGAGGTGCATGCTCCAATTGATCAGCCCGGGAATTCGTGCAGCAGCACGGCACCTCAGATCTGCGAGCTCGAATGGAGGATCATCCCGTCGTGTGGCGGCCCAGGAGGAGAAAACCATAGCCCCGGGGGAACGTGGAGCCTCACTGGCCGTTGGATCCAGCTCATCATTCTTCCCACGTTACATTATAATGAGGACTTTTTCAGTGTGTTTTCAGTGAGTGGAATCTTTCCCAAAGATCAAAAACTTTGCTGCTCAAACTGTAAAAACAGAGAGTTCTTGGTTGATAAAATCATCCAGTAGCAAAAATAAAACTTCGAAGCTCTTGTGATCTTCTGAAAATTTCCAAACTCTCTTGTGATCATCTCCAAGCATTGGAAATCTTCCAAGCTCTTGTCAACATCATATGCATGGAGTAGCGGATTTCCACTCTTCTTCTTTTCCAGCCTCACAGACCCCAAGACGTAACGAAGCCGTGAGGATTGCCAACGAATCTCCATCACCATGAAGCGTCTGTCCATCCTGCTCGTTCCCTCGGCGAGTTTGGCAGCCATATCCACCAGTCCATCACTTGCTTGCTTGCTTGGAAGAGTCACTCCAAAACCTGAAACGAAACAAAACTATTAAAAATACGAACAAAGAAGAGGAAGAGAGAAACTACCATGGGAATATGTGGCCACCAATTCGTTGTGAATAGGAACACTAAGCTCCAATTCCATTCGGCCACAGGGATCTATCTCACATTACTGCTTACTTGGTCGTGTGAATTATTTTCCTCCCAGTCCCCCAACCGAGAGAATGCTTCTTCTCATTTTTTCTCCTTTCCTTGTATGGAACGAAGATGGTTGCAAGACGGAAGTAAGCAGTCAAAGCTTGCAGGGCATGATTGGCTCTCCATCGTCTTGAACATGGCTTGCTCGCTCGGCTCTCATCCAAAAATTGAGCAAAGCGGCTGCCAAGCTTTCCGGGGACCTGTTCAGCGAATAAAACAAAGCACGTGTTATCAAGCAGAGCGATAATGCTTTGCTTACTGTGTGAGTTTGTGCTCCCTGTCCCATCGCACCACTGTTGTGTCTATTGTGTGGGTGAGTGATGGATCAAAGCGAATCCCCTGCTGGATCAAAAATAGGAATTCCCGTGCCTCACCTCCACACCTCCAGGCTCTGCCACGCCCTTGCTCGCCATCCATTCCAGCAAAATCCCTGGCCGCTACTTCCCTGTCGATGCCTCCGGCCACACCATTGCAGCTGCTCGTCGCCAAAATCCTACTCAGGCGATTTGGGCTCCTTCTGCTGGAAAAGGGAATGCAGCATCACCGAGCGATCCCCTGTCCTTGTCGCTGCTGGGCAGCAGTGCCCCCTCTCCCGCTTCCCCTGGAAACCCCGTGGCTGGGAGGAGCTGTGGTGAAAAAAAGAGAGCTTTACCAGGCAAGCAAACGGGTGTCACTCACACCCTCCTCCCCCAGCCGGGGCCGTGCCACGTGCCCACTGGCCGGCCCAAAACCTCGCAAAAATATTTCAAAAGGACGTGTGGTAAGAAACCGATATTTACCGGTTTACCCCGCATCTAAGCTGGTGTGCCAATGGAAGTTATGGGTCTCATGCTAGGTGATTTTATGGATGAGTACACTGTCCGAGTCATCGATGTTTTTGCGATGCCGCAGAGTGGCACTGGTGTCAGCGTGGAGGTTGTGGATCCAGTTTTCCAGACCAAGATGATGGACATGCTCAAACAAACAGGAAGGTTCTTATCACATTTTTCTTTTCTGCAAGAGAAATATGAAATAGTGTTAAATATGTGGTGGAGGCAGTGTTGTTACATTTTAAAGAAGTCGCTAAGATGATTGGCATACCTGCTTTGGCTGAGATTCTTGCAAGAGACTTTGAAGTTGTAATAATACAATTGATCTCAAATACAACTATGTAGCAAGCTTATAGACAGTATATTATACAAACAAAAAAGAAAAACACACTATGGAACATGAAATGAAAGTGTATAGTACTTTAATCAGCCTTGAATGCAATAACTTTTGGCAAGCTCTCATCGGCACTAGTCTAGAATAAGAAGTGGCCTGTTGGTGGCTTCTTTGTCTCCAAAAGCTTGATTGCCCCAGACATCCAAGCAAAAGTGAACATTCTTAAAAACTGGCCAGGAGTAAGACCATATGTTTGGTCTATATAAGTGTCCTCCATGCAAACGTCTTGGGGGTGGCCATTATCTGGATAGAATTTGCCATGGACCTGCAAAATTTAAAAAAACAGTTGTTCATTCTTGCAATGGTGACACCAACCAATATCTCGTGTTTGTTTCTTGACCTTGAACTTTTTGCAAACATGGCAGCCGCAACAAATAGAGATCACTCGAGGATTTTCAGGGATAAAGTGGCCATGCACCTATTGACAAAATATGCATCATGAACCACTGGTAAAGATCAAGAAAGACATACCCCAAAGAAGTTTTTTCCATATATGAATGAAATAAAGTGCAGTTGTTTCTATATGTGGTCCCAAAGCATATCATCAGGAATTTTCAAGACAATAGTCGAGGGTGCAATCCTGAACACATTTTTATCTTTAGTTCCTCGGAGATTGTAGAAAATATGACTTGGCATGTCCCTAGCAAACCATGACGATTTGAGCTCATGATAGACATGGTCCATATCACCTAGCACATGCACTTGTTTTTGAAGTTCACCCAAAAAATTCAATCATAATATTACAAATACCTTATAAGTGTTTTCAGCTTCAAGATCATTAGCAATGAATATGATGTTTATAGTGTTAGGCATTTGGTCCACACTAATGATTGCCGCAGCAACCGTTGCAGAAGTATAAGCAGAAGCATCCCTTGCAAACTGATTCAGTGGAACAATGTTTGATGGCCTAACAAAGTCAAGCACTAGAGGAGCCTTCTCTGGCCATGCTCAAACATGTGTGGCCGTAGAAATATCTACTAAGAAACAATGGAGCCCCAAATGATATTTCGGATTCTTAGCTCTAACCTTGTAGTGTTGAATACACAACCAGTGACCTAACTTGAAAAGGTGGCTATATTTATTAGTAGCATTGGTTGCCATCAAAGCTGTCGCAAGGTGCATGCCGTAGCTGTCAGTGAAATCGATGTTAAGGAACCTTGATGTTGATGCCATTCTTGTTGAGTGGACCTCATGTTGGAAATCATAACTACCGTATCGAGATAATACATATATAAGAAGCAGCTCACCGCCTAAATGAAGTTGTAGATCCACAATATGAACACATGTATATTGTGTTTCCTCAGAGGAAGCAATTAGATTCCATATGTCAGGGTCTAGAATGCTATATAACTTGCGTTTAGCTAAAAAATCCCATTATTAACCCATAACTAAAAAAAAGCATTCTAAAATTGAGCAGTACCTCCTACAATCGCACGGGGCACTTGGCTGGAAGTCTGTGTCTGAACGCCTGGATCTGGCCATAAATAAGGTTTAAAAAGCAAAAAAGCCAAGTGCCAATACCTGCTAAACTAGCAAAGGGACTTTGAAAATGTAACGGTTGTTTGAAATTTTCTTGTACACCTATTCCTCAAGCTGTAAAGCATTGTATTGGAATAGACAAAGTACTTGAAGCACTAAGATGTGTAAGGCGCTTAGATCCTGGAAAGAAAAGTGATTAAATTTTGCCTTATCAAGATAAACACAAACCTAGTTCACTGCTCTCTCCACCCATCTCTAAATCACTTAGAACTGGTTGCTGCTGCAAAGAAACATCATCTGGCGATGGCTGGTAATTTTAATCTACATGGTTTTGAGACCCCTTATTAGAATTGCTAGCTGCCGCTGCTATCGGAGAGAGAGATCCTGAATGAAGCAATTGATTAAGTTTGGGTTAATCACAGCCGTTGGTCCAAAGCCTTGCTTAATTTTTGCCATGTCATTGGGCATTTTCACTCGACAGGAGAGACAGCAGGTGTAGTCACCATCAACACTTTGCATGCGACATGCATTGCTGCTCCTTCCTCTCCGGTTTGGCCGCCTCCCATTGTTTTGTTGTGTTGTGGTGTTGGTAAATTTTCTTCTTTTCGCTGTTTTGTTGCTGTTCTTCCTACCATATGTGTTGCGGGATTCTGTGACTTAGTGCTGTCGGGGAGAGCTAGGACTGTAAATCCCTGTTTTGTAAGATTTTGTATACTTGGCTGTCTATGTGTTGTCAACAGATTGGACATTCATCCTTTGATAACCTGGAGAAAATGAAGAGAACAATGAGCAAAGTTTAAAGTCAAGAGAGAAAAGAGAGATTTTTACCTTCAGGATACACTGCACGCAAAAGGTATGGCTGCGGTCCAGTTTGGATGGCTCTACGCAGTGCTCTGGACAAAGAACAGGAAGAAACGAAGTAAGCTTAGATTGTTACAACAATTTGCGAGAGTGGGACTTACTGAGACAAATGCAGCAAATGATGTTGTTGTGTGGCGGTGCAAGGTTGAAAAATTCGATTGACAGAGATGGAGGTTGATCGTGGTGTTCTTTCGGTATGTGCAAGTTGGAAGAGCTCTCGCTGTGATGCAGGCTGGCGAATGGACTCTCGGGAAGGTTGTGTCCATTCCCATTGGTGCTGCTAGAAGTTTCCAAAGTGAGTAATCAAGTTCTATCATATGACTGTGACGTAAGCATCATTGGGAAGTGGATGAAGAGCTTCACTCTCATCACCACCTTCGCCCTCCAGCACGTCCATGATGAATCCAAAGGGATTGCTCGACTGGAACTGCTGCATATCTACTCGATCATTTCGAAAGCTTAGTACCAGAGAAGATCCAAACAAAAAAAATCCAACCTTCCAGTGTTAGCACGTCTTCATTCATCCCATTCCCATGGCTGCCGCTACTGTTGTTATGCTCCATGATTCGTGGAGTTCCAGGAACCTCGGGGGAGTCCAAGCTAACATGAACTCCATTGAGGTTGGTCGTGGAAGCGGTGCTGTTTAGCTTCCTGTCTTGCTCATCGAGCAGTAGTAATAACTTTGCAGTTGTCATAGCCTCCGCAGCCTCTACCTCGGCAGCACGGTCTCAGAGCGAATCTTGTAGATGCAATTGCAGATGTAGATGTTGTCAGGCTTCACGTCCAGGTGAGCAAGGCTGTGCCGAGTGAATGTGCTTCAAAGCGTTTAAGAGCTTAAATTGCCTCGTCCCATTTCCTGACAGTGGAGTAAGAATGAAGATCATACAAATTCTACGCACCACAAATACCTTGATTTGATGGAACTCCTCACGGTAACGCGATGAAGAGCCAAAAGCAGAGACACATCGTGTATGAGAATACCAAAGTTATGAAAGAAGAATGACAAATAGCAACTTGCGATGGTTCTCAGGAGCAAAGACACCAGCGTTGACACAGCGCCTCCGATTTGGATCGTGAATTGGCAGCAGCGGCAGGGGCTCTTTCGCTGTCTCATAAACCCTAGAAAAACATACAAAACAAAACTAATTCGCTTGACAGACAACAACAGTCAACATATTGCATGTGACATGCGTCGTCGGGCCTTCCTCTCCCGCCACACATGGCTTGGCTGCCTCCCATTGGCCAGGAGCAAACATCAGCGTGATTATTTGCTAACACGTGGTTAAAGAAATAACCCCTTAACAGTTACCCCCCCATTGGACGGCCCCGATTGGCTGGATCCGGCAGCCCACAAAGTTTGGCGTTTGCTCCTTATAGTACTAGATTAGTCTTAAGTGATAAGTATGATAGTTTTTGCTTTGGGAGGATATGGATAGACTATGGTATATCCATATGACTCTACACAAAACCTCAAAGTGAGCATCATTGATTATTATTAAGTTTATTTGCCATCTAATGAGAATTGTAGTATAGAAATCATGTATTACTTTAATTTTGGGAGTGAGAGTTATTAGTAAACATATATCAGAGCAGAATTTAAATTAAAAAAGAGTAACATATTATTTCTAAATACAATTATTTAAATTATAAATACAAGATTAATCTAAATGAATAACACTTAAGTGGTAGAATATCCTAAAATATCCAGGAATATTCTAGGTATATCCACTACCACCCCACTTTAGCATTGCTTAAGCAAACCAAAAAACATCATTCATTTGCATTTTGCTAACATATTACAAATGTTAACACAATTTTAGGTATGTAGTATGCCTACTATTGTTTTAGAGTGACAAAAAATATAAATTTGACGTGTCAAGTATAGAGGAAATTTATAATTATTGAACAAAATAATTCTTTTTGGAAGTATTAGTAATTATTGTCAGCTTTATATTATTTAAAGATAAATTTATACTTAAAATTACATTAAATATCTTGAAATTACTAAGCTAGCTATATATTATTACTATATTTTTTATTCATGGGTTTTAATACCTGGTTCTATCTTTTAGTTTTATTTAATATATATCAGTGTAAGTATAACATTTTGAACTTAATCCTTAATTAATAACTTCTTTATACAGTAACAATCATTGAAGGAAAAGATAATTTTAATTGGGCTCCAGATATGAAATTTGCTCTTGCAAATTGTAATGTTTATCAAGCAAATGTTATTTTATGGAGAAAAGGTAATGAATTTGCTTACTTTGATTATGATACACTATCAGCAGAAAAGTGCTCTAAAATAATAAATAATGTACCATTTGATGGTGTATCTTTTATTGGTAATGGTCATTTTAAAACTACAGGTTGGTATGGATGGCAAAATTGGGCATTTGATGGTCATTATTCACATGATGTTTATGATGATGTAATATTTCAATAGAGAAGAAGATAATATAAGTATTATATGAGATTTTATATTAATTAAAAATGTTGTAGTGATGTTATAAATAAAAGCATTTAAAGTTCTAAAAAAACAATGGTATGGACAATTGAAACAGTTAAAACTTGTATTTAATTTTGATAAATTCATAGTTAAGAAGCAATAAATTATAGAAAACATCCAATATTGAATAAGACAAAGATATATAAAGATATATATTAAAAACTAAACATGTATTTGTACTTTTTTGGTTTTTTTTTGTAATTTTATCAGTATTAATTCTTGACATATAATGATTTTGTTTATAAATTTATATAAGAATTTTATGAATATTACCAACATATTGTTTAGTATAACAACCACATTCAAACCCCTAAAAGCTGCCCTCAATTTGTTTTTTCTTAAGTCTGGCTGAATCAATCAATCCTTTTCTCTTTCTTAGACTCATCAGGCAATTGATGTTTTTTCCAGTTTTTTTAAAATGTAGACATTTGGAATTTACCACAATAGTGCAGTGATTGATTTGTATTGGAAAAAATACTAAAATTTTACAATTTTTAAAATTTGAAAAAAACATTAATTATCATATATATCTCACTTCTATTGAACTTTGACATGTGGACCATATTTGTGAGATATTAATATATCATCACAAACATTTTGACTAAATGTAGCACATGTGATCATGGGATGAAATTTAGATATATTGTCATTGTGGATTTTTGGAAGTTTAGAAGATATATAGGGATTAAGTAGCCATTAAAAACTCTCACATTAAATAATTACCCCTTTTCCAGATAGGTTAAAGGGAGAGGATAAGTTTTGGCAAATGATTTTTGAAAAGTTAGAGATAAATTGAGTATAACTAGTGGCAAACATCCATAATCAAATAAACAAATAAAAATTATACACTAGCTATTGGAATATATGCTAAAGACTTTTATAAAAAACTTGACTTGATATTAAGAGTATGGGAGAATCACTTGCCTTTACTCTAGATTGCTCATAATAACACTCATCAATTGGATATTTACATGTTTCTATTCATGGTCATATATAGCTATAAGCCTAAGTCTCTCATGAGTTTAAATTTAGCTTTAGTTTGAGTGCCTTATACTGGTGATTTTTTTGAGGATATGAAAGTGGCAAAGTTGAACATAAGACAAGTTCAAGAACGAAACAAGAAATTGGCTAATGCACATCATCATTATCAGAAATATAAAGTTGGTTTGACAAAATTTTCCTTAAACTATTAAATGCATAACAATATCTAAAAGGTCCACAATATTGTATTGTATTATCTTCAATTTTATTGCATATGCAACATTTTATGTAAAGAAGTTTGAAACATATTTATACTCTAGTGATGTGAATTTTAGGTCCCAAAGATTGATGTTAATAAAGTTGATCTAACTAATATTCTTGTTTAAAGGTTGGTGAAACAAATTGCAAGATAATTTGGGAGTTGTTAGTTTGGTGGAATGGTTATTCTATGGACGAAGTTATATGGGAAATTGAGGATGATGTAAAAAGAGCGTTTTCAAGTTTTAGGTATGACTTCAATGACATTCTCAAAAGCATGTAATGTGCAACAAATTATTATCTTATATGTACAAGTTTAATCATCATCAAACTATCGTATCAAAACTTATGAGATTTAGGGGTAGTTTTTTAAATTCCTCCTCTCTAACTTTTTTTGTTGGAAACTAACCCAAAGAAGACCAGATATTGCTGCTAGGAAAGTATAGTAAATTATTTCTCTCACAATGAAACTAATGAATTTAATTATAATATCTCTAACTATCTTATATTAAAAAATATTTTGGAAATATGTTTTTTTAAAACTATACTACCACTTAATATTTATTTTTTTCATTTTATGTCATAAGTCATGTTTCATTATCATAGTTTTAATATATGTTTTATTATTTATTTTAAACACTACACTCTGGATTATATGATTTTATTAATTTTTATTTTAAATTTCTAGCTAATGATATATTCTCATAGTATTAATGGTATTTATAAAGATGAACATTCTTTTGTTATTTTAATTTTATCAAAATCTTTTAATAACTCTCTTCTTCGTTCAATCTGAACATTAACTGATAAACTTCCATCATTCAAATAAACAAAACCACCCATCTGATGTAGCACTGCTATACATCTAGTCCATATGAAATTAAAAGCTTGTTCTATATCTTGTTGAATTGATGCCCTACTATACATAGAATTAACAGTAATTGTGACATGTATTCCTCCTCCTGAGGCAGTATATTCTCCATTTTCCCAAAAATTATTAAAGTACCTAGCTTTACACAGATTTGTTACATGACAATATGCTTGGGGAGAAGGTGGATCTTGTGTACCAATTGATATACAATCTTGAGTTGCTTCACTTAGCAAATACCCACCAACTAAAAAAAAATATAGTAAAAATGAACAAAGGAAAACAACTACAACAAACTCTGTCATTCTCTAAGTATGAAATGGTTTATATCTGCTTTATAAAGGCTTTTGAAATAGCATTAAAATAGGATATGCTTAGTTATTACAACTTTTAAAAATAATGCTATAGTAAAAAAAAGACAAACCCAATAATTCTGGGTTCTAGAACAAGACACAATAGAGCATGCTTGGGGCCAACTTCCATAGCAATCAGTATTCTTTTATTTAACGAAAAGATCAAGAATTATCAATTTTATCAAAATCAAAAGAGTGTAGCAGTAAAGTAAAGATAGACCCCAAATCGAAAAGAGTGAATTGGTGTAGCAATGGCGGGGCTAGTGGCAGCAGGAGCGGCAGCGGTAGCGGCGGTGGCATTTGCATTTCTTACATTTGGCAGGAGGAAGAAACT